GGGTTTTGGGGTTTAGGGCTCAGGGGCTTAATGCTTAGGGAAGGCTCAGGGCCACTTTTTTCCCCCCCCCCCCCCCAAAAAAAAAAAAAAATCCCCAAACCCCCAAATCCGACCCAGACCCCCCAAGCTGTAAGCCCGAACCCCAAACCCTAAAGTGTCCTTAACCCTAAACCCCTAAGCCCTAAACACTAAACCCCAAACAGCCTGAACCCTAAACCCCACCCTAAACACCCTAAACCCTAAACCCCAAACACCCCAGACCCTAAACACCCTAAACCCCTAAACCCTAAACCCCTAAACCCTACACCCCTAAACCCTTAACCCCTAAGCCCCTAAACCCCTAAGCCCCAAACCCCTAAACCCCAAACCCCTAAACCCTAAACCCCAAACAGCCTAAACCCCAAACACCCTAAACCCTAAACCCGTCTATCCTCCGAGCGGCTTGTCTGGGGGAGGCCCCGGCCCTGAACGAAACCGGGTAGGCGGTAGGCGACTTTAGGGTTTAGGGTTTAGGGCCCTTGCCATTATTGTTATATGACCTTATTGTAAGTTAGGGTTTAAGGTTTAGGGACTTAGTAAGTAAGGTTATAATTATTATATATTATGACATTATTTTACAGGAAACTGAAGGTGGGGAGTTTAGGTTATATAGGAGGCTTGGCCTTCATCTGGTACTGCATCAGCTCGGCGGGCCGGAAGCATTAGGGTTTACTTGGAGGATCATGGGACTTAGTAAGTAGGGTTTAGGGTTTAGGGTTTAGGGTTTAGGGTTTAGGAGGATCATGGGACTTAGTAAGTAAGGTTATAAGTCCCTTAATTGGGGTTAGAGGTAAATATAAGTACAATTGCCTTAATTATAACCCTACTTACTAAGTCCCCTGATCCTTTAAGTAAGGGCCCCTGTCATTATTATTATGACATTAGTGCACATTAATTAAGGTTTGGGGTTTAGAGTTATATCAATGTTATTCATATGACATGATTGTAAATTAGGGTTTAGGGTTTAGGATTATCGCAATCTTCCTAAACCCTTAAACCTTCAACCCTAAACCTCCCAGAGAACCCAATACTCCTTAAATAAGGAATATACCTTAAACAATAATAAGATTAAGGCCTCTATAGTTTAAGCCACATTCCTTAATTGAGGGGTATTGAGTTCTCTGAGCTTGCCATTATTTTTATTATGATATTATTGTAATGTTATATAATATAATTGCGAAGATATTATTAACTTCACCATGTCCATGATCTATATCAGACTACTGTACTATTATGGTCGGTTCCTATTGCAGGGTTGGTTCTATAAGAGTTTCTGCAATGAGTTACATGGTAGGTATGCGGTTGGGAGTTTTGGGGTTAGCGCTGTAGGCACTCAGGGTGTGGAGTTTCCAGTATTTCGAATTAAAAAATATGGGGGACTCTTTCTCTAGGGCACCTTCTGCTTTAGCATACTTCTGGTCAGCTGTTGGGCTGGGATTTCGGATCGCTACTGTGAGCCTCGGCCATGTACTTCGGATCTGCAGAGTCTGTAGAGGTGGAGGCTTGGACAACAGGATCGTGGTGCGTGACTCCACCTTTCCATGCACGTATGCCAAGACAAAGACCCAGCAAATTCAACACAAGTAGCCCCACCATCCGGCCGAGAAACTCCCATACAAAACCCAAAACCCACGAATCCAGGACGTCTAAGAACAAGTCACCCTAAACCCTAAACCCTAAACCCTAAAGCCTAAGCTCCCAAAATCCCCGAACACTCAACACAACCTGCACCAACAAGGCTCGAGGCATGGGAGTCGTAGGGTTTCTGGGCTTTAGGAGTTTGGGGGTTTACGGCTTCTGGGGTTTAGGGTTTAGGGGTTGAGGGTTTAGGGCTTTAGGGGTTTAGGGTTTAGGGTTTAGGGGTTTAGGGGTTTAGGGCTTAGGGTTTAGGGTTAGGGTTTAGGAGATTAGGGGTTTAGGGGTTTAGGGGACCGTAGGGGAAGGGCTTGCGGATGTCGGGCTGGGCACTTCAAGCTTGAGTATCGCAGGCTGTGGCCTGCGAAAATTGCGCTGTAAAGCGACAGGACCCGCAAAGCATCCATGGTCAGGCCAGAAACAAGAAGGACAAACGTTGAGAGGTCAGCCCCGTTCTTAAAGTACATGTGTGTGTGTGTGTGTGTGTGTGTGTGTGTGTGTTTGTGTGTGTGTGTGTGTGCGCGTGTGTGCGTGAGTGTGTGTGTGTGTGCATGTGTGTGGGGCCGTGATTGTGCTTGCATGTGGCTGCGTTTTTCGTGTGTGCGTGTGCGGGTTTTTGTGTCTCTGTGCTTGATTTGTGTTAAGCTTACTCTGTGTGTGTCTATGGTGTCTCCGTGCGTCCCTGCCTGAGTTTTGTTGACTTGGTGTCCGCATGCACGTTTGTGATTGAGTAATTATATGTGTGTCTGTTTAACCCTGTCAGTCTCTCTATGTATGTCTGCTGGTGTATCTGACTCCTTGGGTGCCCGTGGTTTGCGTGATCGTAGCGGTCCACAAGCCTACTTCAAGTGCTGCCCGGCACGCGCAGGATTCCTGCACAAGTCTCTTTTCTGCGAGATTCAGGTGCAACAAATCAAAAAGGACTTGGAGGTTCATGGGTAGTTAGAAGTGGGGTTATAAGTCCCCTAATATGGGTTATAAGTCTAGTTACCGGTTACTAACTCTGCTTATAACCACATTTACAACTATCCATGAACCTCCAAGGATGCGATTTCGTTCACGGATTGCCGACCTCAACACTTCTTCCGACAGCACGGGCCCGGGCTGCATGGACGGAGCGACACCTTTGGATGGGCCTAATCCGAAAGCGGGCTCATACTGGCCGGCAGCTTGCTCGTTGGCGAAATCATTGATTTCACCCTGCTTCGCCTGGACCTATTTTTGAGAGGGAGGTTGTCGGCTGCGCAAGCATAACTTGGGTTCCGTAGTAACATTCCGACGACGATGCACATGTGTATTGGAACAAGAACCATTGCACCATGTTCAAGTCTTGCTTGTTGTCGTTTGCCGTTGTTCTACGAACCACGGCTAGCAACAACAAGCAAGAGCTGAAAATAGTGGAAGCACCGCTCAGCTCGCCGGTTGCCGGCCAGCTGCACTCGCCGAACCCCACCTCTTCTGTCAAAGACGTCTTGGTCGCAGTGGCCTCCCGCTCGACGGATATCCAGAATTGGGACCTGAAACATGCTAGGGTATCAGCAGGGGGCGGCCGGCTCCAGGAATTTTTCGCGGAGCACCGGGAGTCCCATGGGCCGCCCGAGCCGAAGGCCTTGCGGAAGATCGAGGAAGCAGAGCGTCGGCCATGGTGATGAAGCGAATCAGACTTGAAATCCCTGCATTGAAGCCAGGGCCCTGTCCTCCTCGCATCGTTGCTTTGTTCTGGAGCAAGCTTTTGTCTCTGGTGGCAGCCATCGCAGCAGCGACGAAGACGAAAGAATAATGCAAGAAGTCCTCCGATCTACCCTACCAGGCCGCTGCACTGTTCGCCACTGCACCCAGCATCTTCCGGGGCAAAATCATCATACAGTAGGATACAAAGTAGCACTCGCCACGGCGAAGGCAGCCAGCTCCGCAAGAGCACCCAAATACCAGGCAAGGAATGCCGCAGCCTTCACCGGTCGAACAGCTTTCAACGCCTCTGCTGCTGCACCGTCCGAGCCGAACATCACCTCCCACTTGCTCGCAGTATCGACAGGTTGCTTATTACACTATTACACATAACATAATATGACTTACGCCCGTCTAGCAGCTTCATGGTTCCGTCCTTGATTGCACATGGATCCCACACTGATGCGCAAAACCCTGCTTTTCCAGACTTTCCTACAAGATGGCTATTGCTGGTGCAGCACCGAAGGCTGCATTCAAGCCTGAATAGCCTCCTAACGTCTCTTTTCTCGGAATCAGCCCGCCTCCTGTTGCAACCTGCCCTCGGCCATGGCCTTGGCCGA